TCTGCTCCTATGATGCTGCTTGGCCTGCTGTGTTCATCCAGCCCTGCACCTTGTTGTCTCGGATTCTCCAGCATCTGCAGTTCCTACTATCTATGAAAGCTCTTAATTTGCTTTTTAAACACTTGAGTTCTTCTTGTTTATCCAGACCAAATTTTCACTGGTTTACTTTGAATTGAAAAGTGCAGTCTGATGTGTTCCTAATCCTTTGTCTTTTTGCAGGTGGTTGGTGTGACACTTCCATATGATACTCTGGATGAGGTCCGTGACAGGCTGGCTGAGATATCGCCAAATCTGATCTGCTACAATGATGTCGAGGAGGCTAATTTTTTCAAACAGGCAAACGAGCTCGCAAAGGTCAGCTTAATATCACTGTTTACACTCTGCTGTCTAAACCTTCTTTTTTTTCCAGTAACTTAATTATGTTGCATGCTATAATAATTGAAGCCTTATCAGACAAAAGCAGGAGATATTTGCGTATGTTTGGTGGGGGCAAAAAAACACTGCATTTTGGAAGTGGGTTTTAAAGGCCATCATTTTTCAAGGAACAGCAACCAGTTGAGGAATGAATGATGTTCAATGACCAAATTTACAGGAACATTGAGCTTTTCATAAAGTTGTAGGTGACAGGTGACTACAGAGTGTAAGGAGATATTAGGTCATGGTAATTTTAAATATTGAAGCAGAAAAGGAAATGATCAACGGCATGAGAACTGAGGTGAATGCTTCGTGCTGTGTGTATTAATTTTAATTAATATTCTTCTGTTTGCTCAATTCCTTGAGGCAGCCTCTGAATAATTTCTGTGCTTTCTTACAGCTTGTGAATCAACAAGTCTTAACTGAGCCACTTGTTCCACCTCAACTTACAATTAAAGATTTTTACATGACTGGTACGTGTTAATTGAATATTCCATGGAATATTGCTTGGGTACCAGACAGGCTAATGCTTGCTTAAGGATAAAATCTGGAGATTTTGTTCTACTAGCTAATGAGTTAAATGTGCTGTTGACTAGTAGTAGCCATGTTCGAGGACATTTGGGCGCTTTGTATGCAATAGTTGGATACCATTCTGTTTGAAAAGTCCAGATTTTGCAGTGGTAAAACTGTCAGCATCGCTGTCAACACTCCACGCAAACTAATGGAAAATTTTGGAGGTTGTACATGTGTAGAACAACACACAAATCCAGATGTTTCTGCCAATAATTCATCAGAGGGTGTGCTGTTAACATATTCCCCACCCTCTACGCACCAGCCCCATCCTGTCTATAGGGTACAATCCCTGAACAACCAAGAATGTCCACTTTTTCATACTGTTGGTCTTCCTGCAAAAAAATTAGAAAAAGGTGCAACATGTTCAATGAGATGTAATATGGTTTTTAGTTAATATTTATTTGAGAATTACTGCAAAACATCTTCACTGGTCCTGAAAGGCTTGTTTTAATTTTGATCCAAATCGATCATGATTTAATTCACTATTTGAAAATCTAAAATAAAAATGACGTACAAAGTATTTTAGCTTCTGCTGCTACCCGTGAGGCTCCTTCAGGGTCATTAGCTGTTTATTGTGTTTGCTCATGTTGCTGCTCACAGATCTGGAGGTCCACCAGTTATATATTGACCATGGGAAAGAGGAAGTTTGCATCACATAGTAGTCGGTTCTTGTTGGCAGTTTTGTTTTGAGGTCTGCAACTCATGCTGTCTTTCACTACTGACTGAGAAATATAGGCTATTATGTAATATTGCTCAAGTTATGGCATGAATAAAATGCTTTTATAAAATTTAAAGTGTGCACAAATAGTTCAGTCACATGTCTGCTTCAGCTTGTATTATCTGTTCCCTTTTATGTGTATCAATGTCCCAAGACACATCATATGCAATCGGAGAGAAATAAACAACCTGCTAAAGGACCGTGGATTCGAGGGATGGTGCAAATTTTGGTCAGAGATAGGTCTTGAAGCAGAAGAAGCAGGTGCAGGCATACTCGGGTTTAGGGAAGGAATTCCTGATAGCTGTCAATATTGAGGTGAAGTAGTCCATATGGGTACAGAATTTTAGGAATTTTTTTTAAAAACAAATCCACGGGATTTGGGTGTTGATTGCTGGCCTAGCATTTATTGCCCAGACAGCAGTGAAGAGCAAACCACATTGCTGTGGATAGACTTCTACATAGTCCAGAGCTGGTTCTCTCTCTTGCATGTGCTCTCTCTCTCGCGCTCGTGCACTCTCTTCCCCCTTGCCTTTCTGTCTTTGATGGGACTTGAACAGGGGTGTGAAGTAAACATAAGTCAGTGCAGTATAGGAGAGGGACTGCGGAGTTTTGGAAGAGCAGGTGAAGGATGGGAGGATGGTCAGGAGTGCATGGATCAATTGAGTCCAGGGTGACTGCAGCTTTCCATGCCACTGTGCATCCTAACAAAAGCAATATTTTTATTCATGTGGTACCTTTTCAAATTCAGATATTTTCTAATGAGTATGAAGAAGAAATTTGCCATGAGTTCAAATGCCATAGTTAGATTATACAAACAGCAATGCGGTAAACAATCGGTTGATCTGCTTTTGCCATTGTTGATGAAGGAAGTAATGTTGAACAGAGCATCAAAGAGCACCCTTCAGTTCAAATAATTCCTGAGAATCATTGGAACAATTAATTTGGATGACTTCATCTGCAAGAAAATGACAGGGCCCTGGACATTGAGCCAAGATTAGAGGCGGCTAAGTCTGAAGGCAACGAAGTAACATAATGAAACCAAAATGAGCCTTAGATTTCAATGTTATTTCCTTGTTTTCCTTTAATCTGCAAATAGACCTGAAGCTGCTGTAACTTTAAATTGGGATTTAGCCACAAATAAGGCAGGAACACGAGGAATAGACAAATCTCCAAATTTCAAACTAGCCTATAAATCTAAGTGAGTATAGACATACACCTTGTGGGTCAAATTGTCATAGCTTGGGACCAAATTGTGCCAGAGACATGATTGTGTAAACATCTTACATTTGCAATTACATAAAATCCTGTTGTGCAAATTGAAGCCACAAAGCTACACCCTTCCATGTTAAGCTAAAAATCGAGCAATGATGGTGTTTTCTTGTTGGATTGTTTTGTTCTGTGAAGAACTATGTTTAAAATATAGTACTGGTTGTAGGGAATGGGTTCCATTGTATTTGTGTAACTGGTTGCAGCAAAAGCCTGGAATCATTCAATGTTTAAAGCCTTTGCTCTTCCTGGTTCATTTTACCTACAGATCCAATCAGCAGAGCCTCCCAGACGATGGCAAAGTGTGTCAAAGCAGTTACTGAAGGAGCCGCTGCAGTTGATGAGCCTTCCATCTGCTAACCTCGACTGACAAAAAAGACCTCAAAAGCATTGGTGTTGTACTTCTGTAGCTAAATTCTGCACAAATATTTATAAAGGACAAGCTTCTAAAGAAGACTGAGTTCATGTCTGACTGCATACTCTGAGCATGATTCGTGAAGTTGTATGATGCTCAGTGTAGAGGGATAAGTGTGTGACACACTCCACCCATTTACTAGCTACATGCCATCATTGTATAATAACATGTTATGTTAAGTAGTATAAATTTCCACATGAAATTCAAAAGGTTTAGTGTGATAATTGGGCTGTGTGATAAACTTCTGATTATGCTGACTTTGTGTTCAAGACACTTATTTTTGTGTTTTATTGCAACCTTCTCAAGGATGACAACAGTTCTTGTAACACTGCAATTGGATTTTTATGGGAAATAAATCTATATCATGGGTGAAGGCAGTGGAATGTGTTGTTTGACACAAACACAGAAAATGTTCAAGAAACTCAGCAATTCTGGTAGCATCTGTGGAGAGAGGAACAGTTAACATTTCAAGAGTGTGACTCTTCTTCAGTTCCAAAGCATTGAGAAACTTTTTCTGCTTGTCTCAGATTTCCAGCAGCTGCAGTATTTTGCTTTTAAATATATTCCTTGCATGACTGTAAGCACTGTCCTTTGTCATTTGGGTCATACACTGTAAATTGGTACCTGACAGTTCATCAGAGATGTTTCTGCTCCTGGATAAAGGTGCCAATGCATCTTTGATCTTGACTCACTCAATATCCTGTCTGCCATCAAGGCCAAAGCCTTAAGTGCTAAACTGAGCTCTCTCATTTCTGATCCTTTCACCAAAACAAATTGCATTAACATAGCACGTTTAACATGATGAAATATACTCAAGGCACTTCACAGAAGTAGTGTGGAATAACACTGGCAAAATTATTAGAATAAATTCAGAAGGACAGTAGTAACTGCTGTTAAAAGTGCAGAATAATCAAGGACAATAAACATACATCTGTTTAGAGAAGGTTATGTCTCACTGACTGTTTTAAGAAGGGAACAAGTAGGTTATTGAGGGCAGTGTGGTGGATATAGTCTATATGGATTTTAGCAGGGTCATTGACAAAGTCCCTTATGTCTGTAGCTTTTTAAAGGTGGCAGAACTGATTACGGTGATTAAGAAAGCATTTGGCGTATTTCCTTTATTAAATGAGGTGTAGGAGAAAAAACAAAAGAGCAGACAGATGATGCTTGAACTGTTTGCAACAACAGTTAGGCCACAGGTTGAGTTTTCTAAACAGTTCTGTTTGTTCTATAGGAAAGATGTGATTGTGTGAGTGGATGCAGAGGAAATTTACATGGATGTTGCCAAGATTGGACAAGTTTGCCTATGATAAAAGATGAGATTAGTTGAAGTTGTTTTCCATATAACAGAGGAGACTGGTGACTTAATTGATGTGTATAAAATTATGAAAACCTCCACAGTGCAAATAGAGGTGACCCATTTACCATAGCAGTGAATGTAGGTTTAATGTCATTGACAGAAGGATTAGAATGGGGAGATGAAGGAATGTTTGTTTACCTAGAGGGTGAGGGCGATCCGGAACACATTGCCTGAAAGAGTGCTTTTGAGGCAGAGACTCACCATCTTTTTAAAAAAAAGTATACGGATGCCATTGTGAAGAGTTCTGACCTGCAGAACACTGGGCCGAGTGCAGGAAGATTAGCCTATACGGGGTAGCTCTTTGTGATTGGCATGGGATAAAAGGCCTCCTGTGTTGTAAAATTTGAATGATTTCTATGAAATTTTGGCACTGAGCAGAATGACAAAACATGGTCAAAGAAGCAAATGCGTTTTAAATGAGAGGAATACGGGGTTTGGGTCAAGAGTACACCATCAGCCCATTAAGTCTGCTTCGCTATGTATTGTAGTCATGGCTATCTGAACAATTCAACACTTCAATGCCTTTAACCAACATTATTCCCAAAACCCTTTATGCCATTGTTAATAAAAATTTTATTAACCTCTACTTTAAATATACTCTCAAACACAGCTTCCATAACCCTCTGGTAACAGAATTCCAGAGTGGCCACACTCTGAGTTAAAAACATTTTTCTTCAGCACGATGCTAAATGGCATTCCCCTTTATTTTTGTAATGTGCCGCTCCTTCTAGATACCTCAACCATGGGAAATATCTTAAAGAGATAGACAGAGAACAGTTCTGCCATCCCATGAACGAGTCTGGTGCACTTTCATTGTGCTTCCTCGATCGTAATTCTGGAATATCTTTCCTGAGATACGTAGACCCAAAGTGCACTGTACTTCAGGTGATCTCGTTGAAATCTATAACATGCTTAAATGGGATAGACAGATTAGATGCAATGAAGATATTTCCCCTAGTTGAGGAATCTAGAACCAGGGACACAACATAAAAATAAGGTGAGATAACAAGGTGTCGAGCATTTCTGAAGAAGTGTCCAGACCCGAAACGTCAGCTTTCCTGCTCCTCTGATGCTGCTTGGCCTGCTGTGTTCATCCAGCTGTACACCTTGTTATCTCAGATTCTCCAGCATCGGCAGTTCCTACTATCTCTATAAAAATAAGGTGAATGTCATTTAACAGAATAACCAAGTTCCTGTACAATTGAAGCAGTACTTCACTAGTGCTGTACTCAAATCCTCTTGCAAGGGAGACTAAAATCGCATTAGTACTTCTTAATATCTTGCTGCACCTCCATGTTCGCCTGCAGTGATGTACTGACAAGGATACCTATGTCCCTATTTAGAGCTGCCTTTGCAGCCTCTCAGCATTTAAGAAATACTCTACAGATTTGTTCCTCCTAGCATGCTGAATAACCTCACATTTCTCCACGTTATATTCCATCTGCTGTGTTCAGGGAGTGAATGCCAGATTTTAAGGCCAAGGCTGTTGAAGGTACAGCCACGTGGGGGTAGGGGGATGAAAACTGAAAATGCCCAAACAGACCAGATTTCAAGGAATGCTGATACCTCGATTGGTGGTGGTGGTCGTGGTGGTGTTGGGGGCGGGGGAGGGTCAGGGTGAGGCAATGGAAAAATTTAGTCAAGAATGAGCATTTTAAAATTACTTGAATTGGTGCCAATGTACATCAGTAGCAGAGGGGTTATGCAAGTGAGAACATGGAATACAGGGTTTTGAATGACCTCATGTTTATAGAAAGAAGCACTAAGGAGGCTCTCTGTGAGGGCATTGGATTAATCAATTCCAAAGATAATAAATGTAAAGCTGATGTGCTAGAGGGGTGTAAGCAGGTGGGAAGACCTCCTCATGGGTCTGCACCTGGGGCCTGGCGAGGTTGGCTATAAACAGGTCCAAGCAAAGGGCCACAGAGGGAGTCATCTCTGCCAACTGTCTGCCCCTCTTCCAGGGTTATGTTTGTGCCTAGCTGTCCTTGAAGAAGGAGCATGTGGTGTCCATCAATGCTCTCAATGCCTTTAGAGAGAGGTGAGGATAAATTTTTCACAACTCCCCAATTTTGAAATTTGAAATAGTGCTGAAAAATCCTGGAGGCTCAATTTTGCATCTCATCCAAAAGACTGGAAGGAATTTGGACATTGTGCTCAGAAATTAAACATTCAAAAATAGATACGAACCTCTATAAATTGATGTTAAATACTAATGCTCACAGCCGCCTTTACAGCACAGGAATTTACATTTTGGATGGATTGACTTTACTCATAGTTTGGTGAACACTGACCTGACACAGAACTCAAATGAATTTTATTCCAAGTTCTGTACCAAATGGATATGAAAGCTTGTGTATTATAATGGGATACACGCTAACGAAGATGTAACCGATTAAGCTCACTCTAGCATCAGCACAGCAGAGGGGACGAACAGATCAGAGAGAAGCATCTTTGGAGTAAGACTTCACACTAGAAAGATGTGAATAAGTGTAAGTGAAGAATGTCACAATACAGAAGAGAGTGAAATAGCTTTACTGTAGATGAAGAACAAACATGGTAGTCCAGAGACTCCAGCATAGCGCTGGTCTGGTAAAAGACATCAGTCTCCAAGAGTGTATGTGTAGGCAGCCAACATTCAGAGAAACAAGAGATAGTGTTGGATAATTATAAATTATACTGAAGACAAGTCATCTCAAAGCAGCCTGGAGCATATGGTGTGCAATGCAAAGATGGACTTTCACTTACGTAGCACACATATATGTAGGACATGCCCAATTAATTAAGTACTTTTGAAGCTTACCAAGTTTTACAATTTGGAAAATATTCTTACATGTACAGCCAGATCCCACAGACATAAGTTCCCTCCTCTTCCAAAGGTGAAAGGTTCTCTCTGCCACTTGGCTCAAGTTTTGCAAGAGCAGAAGTTGAAGTATTTCTAAGCATGAACTTATGTGCACATACTTCCAGTAAGGATGAATCCTTGGCACTGAGGGAAACACTCCTACTGCTAAGTTGGAAGATTGTCAGTTCAAGACTTACTACAGCAACTTGAGCACAAATTCTTGGCTGACTCTCCAGTGCTGTACTGTGGCAGTGCTGCACTGTTGGAGATTGCATCTTTCAGACAAGATACGAAAGCAGAGCCCTATCTGCCCTCTCAGGTGAATGGGAAAGACTCCTTGACGCTACTTCAAAGAAGCACAGAGAGTTCTCGACAATGTTCTAATATTTATTCCTCAAGATGTAGCACTAAAAACTGATGACTTGGTCATTATCATATCACTGTTTGAGGAAGGTTTGCCATGCATGCACTGATCACCTTGGATCCTAGAGTACTGCTGTTCAAGACAGATTTGTTGGACCATAATATGCACTTTTCTCTGGAGAATAGTTGTCTAAAATTGCCTTACGTAAATGGTTTGAACATCAGCCACTTGTACAATAACTGGCATACATTTGCTATAAGTACATGTACCAGATGTTGGCATGAACCCAACTGCTACAAAGCAAGAAATGTTCTCGTATACCATAGGACTCAATGTAGAAGTCGTAAGCCATTCCAAAGAACATGGAAATCGAATGCTTGAGAGACACTTTGTGTCCTTAAACTTAAGCAAATGTCTTTCAAACATTGTACCTGCATTTACCACTTTCTCTGGCAGTTCGTTCCACACACGAATCACTCTTTATTTTAAAAAGTTGCCCCCGTGTCCTTTTAAAATCATTTTAAACCCTCTCACCATAAAAATATGCCCCTTAGTGTTGAACTTTTCCACCCTGGGGAAAAAGACCCACGTCATTCACCTTATCTATGCCCCTCATGATTTGGCTGATTGAAGAATGGACACAATGATGGCTGGGGTTAGAAACCACCTGTTTTGAGAAGGGTTGTTTTTTTCAAGTGGAAGACTTTTAACCAATGGGGTTCCACAGCAATCAATGCTGGGACCAGAACTGTTTGCAACATATATTAATGGCTTGGAGGAAGGAAATGAATGTACTGTTGTCAAATCTGCAGACAACTCAAAAATAGGTGAAAAGGAAGATTGTGAGAGGGTTACAGTCATTTTACAGAGAGATATCGATGGGTTAACTCAGTGGGCAAAAAGTTGGAGTATAATGTGGGAAAATGTGAAGTTGTTCATTTCGGAAGGAAGAACAAAAGAAAAGAATATTATTTAAAAGGAGAGAAACTGCACAAAGTTGCGACAGAAAAGTGACTTGGGGGTACTTGTACACAAAACACAGGAAGCTCGCACACAGTTGCAGCAGGTAATCAGGAAGGCTCAGAGAACGTTGGTCCTTATTTCAATGGGAGTGGAGTATAAGATTAGGGAAGTTTTACTGCAATTGTATAAGGTGCTGGTGAGACCACATCTGAAGTACTGTGAGAAGTTTTAGTCCGTTTCTTTAAGGAAAGATATCATGTTCTTGGAGGCAGTTCAGACAAAGCTCAGTAGAGATTGTCTTATGAGCAAAGGCTAAACAGATTGTGATTCTACTCAATGGAGTTTAGAAGAATGAGCGGCAAGCTCATTGAAACATATAAGATTCCGAAGGGGCTTGACAGGGTAAATGCTGAGAGGATGTTTCTCTTTACGGGAGAGTCTAAGACCAGAAGGCAGAGCCTCAGAATAAAGGGGCACTACTTTAAGACCGAGATGAGCAGGAATTTCTTCTCTCAGAGGGTTGTGAGTCTTTGGAACTCTTTGCCAGAGAGAGTTAAGCAGCTGAATCCTTGTGTATATTTAAGGCTGAGATGGATAGATTCTTGATCAGTAGGGGAATCAAGGGTTATGGAAAAAACACACGAAAGTGGATGAGAGGAATGTCAGATCAGCCACGATCCTATTGAATGGCACAGCAGGTCTAAGGGGCCGAATGGCCTACCCCTAGTCCTATTCATATGGCCTTGGGGTCTAATGAAGCCACAAAAAGGATGATTGGACAATTGAAGACGCAATTGAGAGTGCAGGGAGCCTTACACACCACTCTATTTGTTTCAATCAATTAACCATTTAAAGCATTAATGTATGAGGAATGAACCAAATGGATGGAGCCTACAGATCAGGGTTTATACAATCTGGCAAAAGAAGTGGGCCACTATTTCGCACTTGAGCAAATGGGTGAGACATCTGTTTTGACTGGTGGAAAACGAGTGGAACAGTTAAGAAGTCATTCAAGAATCAGCAATGCTCCAGATGTCACCGATGGTGGTTTACTACTTGAAAAAAAGTGACAGTTCATAAAATAGCAGCAATGATGAACATAAGAGCAGTGATAAGGAAATTTGAGACTTCCACGATTGCTGAGATACAACATTGAGTTATTCTTTTGTTCAGTGATGGTAAGTATTGAGAAAATTGTTGCTTTTTTTTCCATTGAAGGCAGATGTTAGTAATACCCATCAGGACTGAAATGTCTTATTCTTGGATTTTTATTAAAATCCTGGTGCTTCTCATAGTCTAGCAAATATGGTAATGACTGCTCGTGCTTCAAGACTACATAAATGGAAATCTTTCTTTGTTGTCTAAGCCTTGAAATCATCAGATAGATTGGCAGTGAGCCTTTTTTTAATGCGTAACTATTTGTGATGCCCCTTTGCCCCTCGGACTGACTTAGCTGATCTGTACTGCAAGTATTTGTTTATCTTTGTCCGATCCATAAATGGGAATGCAACTTGGTAACAATTTTTTTTTTCTCCATTGGTTGTTAGACCTCAATTGACCCAAAAGAATTTTTAAGATAAATCTAGTGATCCAGAACCTGGTAGAGGATGAGCACTGGATTTACATCAAAGAAGTTGAAGGAATGTTGAATTAGGCATTTCAAGAAGTATGATCCAGTTTTATCAAGATGAAATATGGGAAAATTCATGACTTGTTCATAAATTGGGAATGCACGAAGACACTGATACTCTATTCGGGAGAAAACTCTTGAATTCACCAGCACCTCTATTTACATCGATTTTTGAGTTAGATCCTACTCCCTCCCCATCTGCATTTCCAGCCCAGTGATCAGAGTTGTAGATGCATTTTAAATACGCACTGGTCTCTGAAAGTATGACTTATGGTTTCATTGTCAGCTATCCTGCCTCCAAATCAGAGGTCTCACTCTGGTGTCTTGACCAGCATTTATCCTTCCATCAACTTGACTAAAACAAGTTGCCGAACATTACAACATTTTTGTTTGTGGGAACTTATCACAGCATTTCCTACAAGAGAATCTTACTACACTTCAGAAGCAATTTGTTGGTTGTGAAGCTGTGTTTGTAAATGTCATAGCATCAATGCAATTCCTTCTTCAGGACAGTCAATACCCCTTTCAGCATCAAATATTATTAAAGCTGATAGCACAGACCATTTTATGTTTATTTAAAACATTTAGTTTAACTGTAATTTTTAAATTCCACTGTTTCTTAAAAAAGACATAAATGTAATCACTGGTGCTGCAGTTGTTCATGGGATCCTGCCGTGTATAAAATAGATGTTCTGTTTTTCCACAACAAAAGGTGATCTTACTTCATTGGCTTTGAAGTGCTTCAGGATGATCTGAAAATAAGAAATGCATGATGCATATGTAGACTTTGCTTTAATCTATGCTAACCTGAGTAAAAGAATAAGTTCAGGACTTTGTTAAAGCAAACTATAAAAAGAACAAGTGTAACTGTGCTTCTATTTGAATTTAAATCTAGGTGGTGCCAAATTGAAATCGGGCATTTTGAATTTACATTCACTTCACAGAATTGTCACGGTGCTGAAGGTGACCACTCAGTTTGTGCCAGCTCTCTAAATAAGCATTTCGCATAGTGCCATTCTCCTACCTTCTCCCTGTACACCTGCTCATTGTTCTTACTAAATAACAGTTTAATTCCTTTTTGAATGTCTCAATTCAAATTCAATTATGGTGAGGTGACAGCCGAGTGATATTATTGTTGGGCTGTTAATCTAGAGACCCAGGTAATAACCTGGGGACCCAGTTTTGAATACCGCCACATCAGATGGTGGAATTTGAATTCAATAAAAATCTGGAATTAAGAGCCTAAAGATGACTATGAATCATTATTGGGAAAAACCCATCTGCTTCACTAACGTGCCATCCTTACCTGGTCTGACCTACATGTCAGTCCAGACCCACAGCAATGTGGTTGACTCTTCACTGCCTTCTGGGCAATTGGGGATGGGCAATAAATGCTGCCTGGCCAGCGTCACACTCATCCTGTGCGTGAACAAAAAAATTTGAAGCTGCCTCCACCACACTCTCGGGCAACGCATGCCTGAGCCTAAAGATTTGCTACATGAAAAGCATATTTTAAAATTCATTCATGAGATAATAGCATTAGTGACTGGGCCAGCATTTTTTGCAGAGCCTTCGTTTGCTCCTTTTGTTAATTACTTAAAACTTGTGTCGACTCTCATTCTCAATCCTTTCACGAATCGGAACAGTTTCTCCCTTTCTACAATGGCCAGACCCTCATGATTTTTAACCTGTCTATCAGATCTCATCTCATCTCTGCAGTCTGTGAGGATAACAGTCCTAGGTTTTCCAATCTATCTTCACAAGTGAAGTTTTTCATCCATGGTATCATGCTTGTGAATCCTGTCTGCGCTCTCTCCAAATACTTCCACATTCTTTCTAAATTGCACTGCCCAGAACAAGGAGACAGTTCACCAGCCGAGGTCAAAATTGTGACTTACTGCACACAAGTTTAACAGAACTTCTTTGTTCTTGTACTCCAAGTGCCTGTTAATACACAATCGTCATACACACATACCATCAGTCATTTGTTTATGAATGAACAAAGCATTTGTATATATAGCCACACAAACGACATAATGTAGGCAGTTTTAACTGGACTTGTTAAGTCACACCAGTTGTAAACTTTACATTGTTTTTTTTATATACTTTCCATGTTGAAATAGCAAAAAGCCACCAATGGGATAAATTATTCTGAATACTTGCTGACGAGCAATAACCAGGCACGCACCACTTCAAGGTGTAAAAATAAGGTCCTGGAAGATGCAGGGCAAATAGGAAAGTGGGCCCAGCGAGATCTCCGCTGGTTTCAGCCCCTGTCTTGGCTGTCAGATTGTCACACAGGATTCCCCAGCCCGGCAAAAGTTGCTATGATCTCCCGTGTTCACTTCCAGGCGGCGGCATCTGCTACTGCTGCTGACGGGAGGCCCGACCTGGGCGACTCCTCCCAGCCGCCCGCGACTTTCGGCGGCGTCAACGACCCATCTTTCCCGCATCTCGCTCTTTGTTCCCTCTCCCTCCTCTCTCGATCTTCACCGCCTTGTAGTGAGTTGGAGTGGGGGGGGCGGTGAGAGAACGAGAAGCGGTCGGGCAGCTTTTTAAAAAAAACAAAACGCGATCGCGGCCGAAAGTAAAACGAGCCCTCCCGCCCGCACTCGCAGACGACGGCTGGTTGGGGAGGGGAGGAAGGGCGAGGAGACGCGTGCGCAGTGGGAGCCAGCTTTCCCCCAGCCCCCACCATCCACCCCTCCCCCTCGCTGCCGCGCCCCTCCCCCCTCTCCCCCGCCTCTAGCAGCCCGGAGCCAGCCCGGCCAGCACAGCGAGCCAGCCAGCCAACGGTAAACGGCCGCTACAGCGCCTCCACCGCCCGGGCCTCGAACATCCACGGACTCACTTTGCAAGCGGCGCCCGGGACCAGGCGCCCCGAGCCGGGCGGCGGTTTGCAAATTTAGACCGGGGATCCGAGAGGTGGGTTCGGAATTTCTCTCGTGTTTTTTTTTCTCCCACTCCAACCACCCCCACCACCTTTCTTTTCCCCCTCCCCTTTCCCACCACCACCTTCCCCCTCCCCGCTCACTCGGTCGTTGTTGTCGCTCGGCGTGTTTGATGGTTTCATTTCCTTTCCTTTACTTTCCTTTCTGCTCCTTCTCTTCCAAAAGAGAGGGAGAGAAAAAATAAATCAGTTGAATTTCTGGGCAGCAGCCGGCGTTGCGACCGAGCGTAAGGGAGGGGTGGGTGTTCAGCGGGTAATAGGCCCGAGCGGATGGTGTAGGCCTCCGCGGTTGTTTTTAATGTGTGTGTGTGTGTTTTCTTTTTCCTCAAAAAAAAGGCCGGTTGTCATTATTGCACTTACATATTTTTTTTATAAAGGTGGGAGCTGTTTGAGGATTCTGGGCCTCGCTTGACCCTCTCTTTTCTTCAAAACCTCCCCACCCCCCCTTTGTGTGCCGAGCGGTCACCGACCCCCCGAGAGAGAGAGAGAGAGAGAGGCGGGCCCACGGGCCTGGCCGGCCTAGGCCTCGCGTCATGGGTGGCTTGAGAAGCCCTGAGGCAACTGGGCCTCGGGGCGGGCGGCCCACCCAACCTGGCCCGGGCCCCGGCCCCGGCTTTCTTTGTCTGCAGGCCGCAGCGAGGCAGGGCTGCTGGGTTCGTCGGTGCCCGTGGGCAGGCCTACAGAGACGGCCTGGGCTCTGTACAGAACTTGGGTCGGAGGCACAGATTTCCTTTCCCCTCACCAACTCCCCCACCTCAGTCCTGTGGAACAGAGGTTAAATTCTTCCTGTTTCTTTCTCAGACTCCAGGCCTTAGTTATATGGAAGAGAAAGCGTGATCTCTTCCAGTCACACATTCAAGATATGTAGACATCTCTGCAAAATTAAGCGCGCACCTTGGGAGATCTCCTCTTACTAATACACACAACACACCTTAGTTGTGCAGAGTTCTTCCTTATATTTATATACATACAGACTTTCTTTATCCCTTATGCTTGTACACTATCATGTCTTCATTTTACAGATATTTTTCCGTATTTATATACGTACAGATTTTGACCATTGCCTCAATGCTTATCCTTTGAATGCATTCAAGTTCATGATCTTCCTCACCCTAATGTTTATGTGCAAAGATGCTTGCTACAGTTAAATGCACACTGCCCTATGAGCTTTCTCTGTCCATTATTAAGAACGCAATTTAACCTGAACATCAAATCCACTGTCTCACCCTATATATGTCCATAGCCTTCAGGCATGGAGAATTCCAAAACCACAGGCCCCTGTGAAAATATTTCTGTCATCTTGGTCCTTGCTGGATGATGCCCTTTTCCTAAAACTCTGACTCCTGAGTTGTGTACAACGAGGGAAACATCTGCCTATGTGGTGTGTGTGTATGTATGTATAATATTAATGTCCAAAAACAGATCCTTGAAGTGGTTCCTTTTATAATTAACTGTTTTGTTGAGGTATTCAGACAGAAATGGATCTTGCAGTTATATCTGTCTGTTGTCGATGATGTTCCTATTATAGGTGTACAAAAACCTGAGAGAGAGAATCCTGTCATTTCTTTAGTTGTGAGCAGATTTTAGTTACAGTTGGACAAGTATCCTTTACAATTGGCAAGTTCAATCCCATTATAATTGTACAAGGAAGTCTTTCAAAGTTCAGCCACCTTGTACTTCAATTTCTAATGAATGATGCAGAAGACTTCTTAGTGTGTCAGTTTGTTCTAGACATGTGCATGTGTTGAAATGTGTAAGCTGTTAAATGGCAAAATGAATATTGAGTACTCTATTATGCTGGACCTCTTGATTGGCAAATGAATGTTTCATTCATGCCCTGTGCCCATCTGCTCAATATGTTCTGAGTTGTAAAAAAACTTCTTTCAACATGACTTTATTTAATGTGCTCTGGTTAATCAACGGAAACAATTAATGGGATGGTAGTGTTAAGTGAGCCAGTCTGTCCAGTTAGTGTGTGGATTATGTATGAGTCTTATTTTAGAGCTTGTGTTGCACAGAAAACTTACGGCATTGTTGTGACAATAGTGCAAAGTATCAAAAAAATTGATGTTTGTAATTGAAGTTTGTAGGAGAAAAATCTGGCATGTGGCTTGAATGAAAAATGGTGCAGGAGCCAGGTGTGATATTTTTGGAATGGTATCTGTTCTAAATGGAGCAAGTACAGTATGACAACATTTAACATAGAAGTTGTCATTTGCAGACTCTGAAGAAAGATCACCTATCAATGATGACCTTTCCCTAGTTTAATATTGTACATCATTCCAATGAATGCTAAGACTTTATGGTGATGTCTTTCTTGCCAATGCCCTCTTCACCCATTGCTTCTGCACTCACTGACCAATGTATGTTCCTGATCCATCAATGTCTTGATTTTTAAAATTTTCATCCTTACGGCTTTGCCCTTGCCTATCCCTGTATTCTCCTGCAACCCTGTAAAACTCTGCGTTCCTGCCAATCTGCCTGCCTGTGTATCACAGCTGTCATCACTCTTAGTGGCACATCTTCTGCTATCTTGCCCATAAATTCTGGAGTTCCCTCCCTAAACTTGTCACTGTCTCTTTTTTTAAATCCATCCTTTAAGTAACTCTTCGAAGCTACCACTTTGATTTAACTTGTGATCACCTTTCAAATCTCTGTGTATAGCTCAGTGTCAAATACTGCATGTTAACTCTCCCAGTTGTTCAACTTGGGAACATTTTATAAAGTTAAATATTTGCACGTTGTCCTAAGTTTATTTCAGAAAAATAATTTCTAAAAGTGAGTTTGAAGTGCAACAGCTGAATTAGCAATAATATATTTCTTGACCTGCACCAGCACTGTGATGATCCAATGTCGGGTCACCCTGTTTGTTTAAATCAGTGATGCCAGCACTTCACCCTTTAGTTCTACGTGGCTATTTTTGCTGCAAATCCTGTACCAAGACAGGACATCATGAAACTTCAAAGCAAACTTTAATGGCCATATGGTTTCTCAAGTCATAGTTATGCACCAATCTCAACAGCATGCTGACTTGATGCTGTTCTTTACACAGGTTCTGAAGTTAAATAATGCATTGAATGATCTGCTTGCATACAGTGGTTTATCACCACATTGCTGTAAGGAGTTTGGGGTTGGGCACAGAAATATCCTCCAGGATTTCCCAGATAATGAGTTCCTGTTGTCAGCCAGGCTGTGGAAGGGAAGCATGGGGGAAGGAGGTCTCTGGTTTTGTGTGAAGTATGTGGAGATGTTCTTGCCAGCTGTGAATAGGGAGAGTAGAAAATTGACAAGCAAGTTGTCTGTAATCTGTTACAGTTTAAAAGCGTTGTGCACAAGCTTGACTGTGTTTGCATTAAAAACTGTGGATGTGATAAACCCATTCCATGTGGTAATTTGACTGGGGAAGTTACCCATTTAGAGTGGGCTTGGAATTTTGTGTTTTTCTCAGTTTAGTGGCTTGCATCGATTGTTCAAAGAGCTATCACACATCTAATAGGCCACGTGGTCTTTCTCTGCTGTATGGTCCTGTGTTTGACCAAATGAGTTCCATTGCATCATAAATCAATTTTAGAATTTGTCAATAACGTTGCCATACCCATGCTGTAACCTCAATTGATCAAGCTGATCTCACAAAATGGGAATCGGACATGGCACCTTGAGGTCCACACAATTTGGTTGTAGAGTTACATCACTTGTGCAACTATTCAAAGCTATGTTGTATTTCAAATATTTATTTAGATTTTGCTGTTTTGGCATGCAGCAAATGTTCATGATTGGGAACAAATTGGTGCTTCATCAAAACAGCATGTTTACATGTCAGCTTCTGAGTTTAGAAGTGTGTTATTGGGAAGTCCGGTTCATTGTTGTCTGAGATTATCCCTCGAACACAGCCTGACCACACAATCTGTGCTTGAGCTGGAGCTATTCTTGGATTGCTGTCTGGCAGTTGCTGATTGGAACGTACTATGTGTCTGGATGTTGAGCACGAGCCTGCTGGGCGGTAGCCTCACCCTGTGGTCAAAAAAGCCTGCAACTTGCTGTGCAAACTGGCACCTGAGGATTAGCAGCTAGGGCCAAGTTATGGTCATCTGCTCTTGGCTGTAACTATTCTCGAGTGTCAACTCCGGGGAAGTGGAGTTGGCTATTCAGCCCCTTGAGCTGAGCCCGCCATTTGATTAGATCGTACGTGAACTGTATTTGAACTCTGTTTAACTGCCTTAGTCCTGTAACTTGTTGCACCCATTCCTAATAATCTTATTAATCTCAGTTTTGAAATTTTCATTCGATCCTTACCATGAAGAGCTTTCAATGAAGTGTTCTTGATTTATGCTTCCTTTTTGTGCGAAGAAGTGTGTCCTGATTTAACCTCTGAATGGTCCAGTTTTAATTTGAAGATTGTGCTCCGTTATGCGTATACACGCCCCTGGAAAAAGCCCCTTCCAAGAATAGAAGAGAGTGGCGGGAGAAACCAAGCAAACATACTGTCTTTTGTTGACTGTATTCTGTTGTGGGCACACCATTGTGTTCTATCTTGCCTTGTGTAATATGGAAAGTGTTTTTAAAAATATTACTAATATTGGACAGTCAGTTGTATTTGCAGATTAATATAGAAGTGCCAAGGGGGAGGAAGGTCAGAAGAAAGTTTTGAATCTCTGCCAGTGGTTTCTGACTGTGATTCTAATTTGTGAGAGATGGTATCAATAGTTACCAAATGTTGGTGCGGAGTTCATATAAGATAAAACAGTATTTCAGTTTTTCTTTACCTCTTCCATTTTACCTGTATACTTAATTCTGCTAATGTCTCCTCACCAGCTTCTCATTTCCCACTCAATATAAACTTCAGCTCATCAAAAACTCTCTTCCCCATATTGTAACTCTGTCCTATTTGCACATCACTTCTGTTTGCTGAACTACATGTGATCACAGTTTGCAACACTTCTTATACTTCTCCTTGCTGTCTTCAAAGCCCTCAATG